GAACCATTCCGGAAATCCTCGTGACGTCCGGGATCTCATCCGAGACTCCGAGCAACTTTCGGTTAACCGCATACTAATATCTCTACAACTCTAGCGTCACCGAACCTTAAGTGTGTAGACCCTACGGGTTCGGGAGACATGACCGAGACAACTCTCCGGTCAATAAAAACAGCGGGATCTGGATACCCATGTTGGCTCCCACATGCTCCACGATGATCTCATCGGATGAACCACGATGTCGAGGATTCAATCAATCTCGTATTCAATTCCCTTTGTCTATCGGTACGATACTTGCCCGAGATTCGATCGTCGGTATCCCGATACCTCGTTCAATCTCGTTACCGGCAAGTCTCTTTACTCGTTGCGTAACACATCATCCTGTGATCAACTCATTGGTCACATTGTGCACATTATGATGATGTCCTACCGAGTGGGCCCAGAGATACCTCTCCGTTTACACGGAGTGACAAATCCTAGTCTCGATTCATGCCAACCCAACAGACACTTTCGGAGATACCCGTAGTGCACCTTTATAGCCACCCAGTTACGTTGTGGCGTTTGGTACACCCAAAGCATTCCTACGGTATCCGGGAGTTGCACAATCTCATGGTCTAAGGAAATGATACTTGACATTAGAAAAGCTTTAGCATACGAACTACACAATCTTGTGCTAGGCTTAGGATTGGGTCTTGTCCATCACATCATTCTCCTAATGATGTGATCCCGTCATCAACGACATCCAATGTCCATGGTCAGGAAACCGTAACCATCTATTGATCAACGAGCTAGTCAACTAGAGGCTAACTAGGGACATGGTGTTGTCTATGTATCCACACATGTATCTGAGTTTCCTATCAATACAATTCTAGCATGGATAATAAACGATTATCATGAACCAGGAAATATAATAATAACTAATTTATTATTACCTCTAGGGCATATTTCCAACAAGCATTACATCTCTCCACGAGCAACAACTTTCAAGTCAAACACCGCTTCCACTTTGAGTTATATTGGACAAAAAATCGATGGATTTCTCGAGGCGATACAAAAAGCTTGGGTCTGCAGCGATGATATTTTTGACCCGTTCAAGAGGCTAGACACGCTTCTCAGAAACACGACTACATACTTACAAGCTTGGGGGCAGAGGAAAACTGGTAACATTAAAATGCGCATGAAGATTGCCACCTGGGTGATTGCGAGGCTGGACAGAGCACAAGAGCACAGGAGGCTGAGTCCGATGGAGCTGTGGCTGCGCCGGACCTTGAAGTTGGCTCTGCTCGGTTTAGCTTCCCTTGAGCGCACCATTGACAGACAGATATCGAGGATTCGTTGGTTGAAGGATGGAGACGCCAACACCAAGCTCTTTCAGGCCGTGGCAAATGGGAGACGGACCAAGAACTTTATTCCTTGCATTAAGCGGGGAGAGGAGCTCATTACTGAACAAGATAGGAAAGAAGAAGTGTTCTCGGAGGCCTTTGTAAACTTGCTGGGCAAGGCGGGAACAAGAAGAGGTTTGCTAGACCTTAACTTTCTCCAAATCCCAAGACACAACTTGCAAGAGCTTGAACATATGTTCACGGAAGAGGAAGTATGGAAGGTCATAAAGGAGATCCCGACTGATAGAGCCCCGGGACCGGACGGGTATATCAGAGCTTTCTACCATGTGGCATGGCCAATCATTAAGGGAGACATTATGGATGCTCTCATGAAGTTGTATGTGGGAGATGGCAGAGGATTTGACAAGCTAAATGAAGCGCATATCATCTTAATTCCCAAGAAGCCAGATGCCATAGAGGTGGGAGATTATCGGCCAATCAGCCTCCCACACAGCTTTGCAAAGATCTTCGCCAAGCTGCTTGCCTTGAGAGCGCGCCCTCACATGTCAGAGATCATTGAGATCAACCAGTCGACTTTTATCAAAGGGAGGAACATTCATGACAATTTCTTGCTAGTCAGACAAGTGGCTCGGAAGTTGCGTGCCAGAAAAGAGGAGAAGGGGCTTTTCCTTAAGCTTGATATTTCGAAAGCTTTTGACTCACTATCTTGGCCTTTTCTCATGGAAATCTTGGAAGCTAGGGGCTTTGGACAGAGATGGATTAGATGGATCTCAATGCTTCTTCAATCTGCCAACACCCGTGTGGTGGTCAATGGGGTCCCAGGTAGACATTTCCACCATGCCAAGGGCCTTCGGCAGGGTGATCTGGTCTCGCCGCTGTTGATTGCTATTGCGATGGATTCCCTCACCTATCTCATGAAGAAGGCCACGGAGACTGGTGTGTTGGGCTCGTTCAGAGGTATCTCGGTGAACCAGCGCCTCTCCCTCTATGCGGATGACCTGGCTCTGTTCTTAAGGCCATCGTATCAAGACCTCAATTTCGTTAGAGCAACATTTGATATCTTCGGTGAAGCATCAGGCCTTAAGATCAACTATAGCAAATCCCATGCGATCTTCATCAAGTAGAACGATAGTGACCAGCAATGAGTAGAGGAGGTGTTGCAATGCAAGCTTGCAAAATTTCCTGCCGCTACTTGGGGCTTCAACTGGCGATCAATCAACTTACCCGAGCTAACTGGCAACCACTCCTAGACCAGGTCCGGCATTTCATTCCTACCTGGCAGCGTGGCTTCATTCAAAGACCGGGCAGACTTGTGCTCGTCAAGACTGTGATCGCGGCCAGATCGGTTCATCAACTTCTGGTGCTCGACCCCCCCGCTTGGGTTCTGGAGGACATTAACAAATGGATGCACTCTTTTTTCTGGGCTGGTAAAGATAAGAGTCATGGAGGTCAATGCCTGGTCGCTTGGGAGACGGTTTGTAGGCCAACGAGCTTCAGTGGACTGGTTGTGAAAAATCTGGAGGTTCAAGCTCTTGCACTTTGTGTTCGTTGGGAAAGGCTAAGGAGAACGGACCCGACCAGGCCATGGCAAGGCCTCCACCTCATGGTTGATGAGCTAGCACGCGCTGTCTTTGACAACCTGGTCAAGATCACCGTTGGAGAGGGTGCGAAGGTTCTATTTTGGAAGGATCGGTGGATCCATGGAGTTGCGGTGAAAGACATTGCTCCGCTGCTCACTCAACTTGTCAGCACAAGAGATAGCAATAGGAGAACGGTGCGCGATGCCCTCCTTGACAATGCCTGGACGAATGATATCAATGGAGAGCTCACTTTCTTGGGGCACATGCAAGTCCACATGCTGATCCAAGCCATTAGCACTGTGGAGAGAAACGTGGATGAACTTGATCGCTTCGAGTGGCCCTGCGACGCATCGCGCAAGTACACAGCCAGTTCAACTTACAACAGACTTTGCACGGGCTACATCCGCTCCCCGACGGCCGGTTGCATTTGGCGTAGCTGGGCAGCGCTCAAGTGCAAGATCTTCATGTGGTTGGCCAGCCAATATCGGCTATGGACTTCCGATCACCGAGCCCGGCATGGCCTGCAAGATGCTCCATCCCCTTGCTACACTTGCCTTCAGGAGGAGGACAATGTGGATCATATCCTCGCACAATGTGTTTACGCTCGAGAGGTGTGGCATGCCTGCTTCAGTGCTTGGAACACCAACATTCACACACCGAGCTCAAATGTCACGTTCTTAAACTGGTGATGGGACCAACGGAGGCGTTTCTCTGGGAGGTCCAAGAGGAGCATCGACTCGATAGTGATTCTTATTGCGTGGGCGCTCTGGAAGCAACGCAATGCCCGTGTCTTCAACAATAGATTGAGACAGAGATCTCCCCTGCAGCTGAGAGAGGACATTCAAGAGGAGATTGAAGATTGGAAGAAGGCCGGTCTCGGCGGTGTCGGAGCTCTAGATCCTTTTACGTGACAGTAGATTAAGGGGTTTATTCGGTGTCGGAGTCGTGTGTGTCTCCCCCGACGATTTGTTCGCATCTCGTCCGGGCTCTTGTATATATATTCTGCCTTCTATAATACAAAGGTATGCCATTGACGTACTCTCGAAAAAAAACCTATCCACATCCTTAGGTATTTGTAGAAAAATGATACTCCCTCCATTTTTGTATACAAGGCCACAAACTTGGATTACATGTATCAATGTAAAATTTAATGTGTGCTTTACAAGTCAACTTCTCTTTTTGTTTACTGGGATCTTTAATACTCTGCATGCACTCAAAGAAACTGAGTGGAGAAAGTAGCTGATTGTTATTATGACTGCATGCATGCAAGTATTAAACAAGTTGTTAGTACGAGAAAATATCATTAACTTTGCCTCGGTTACTGTTGGTGGCCTCGTATAGATGTAGAATGTATATTCCATAGTTGGTGGTCTTGTATAGATGTAGAATGTATATTCCATAGTGGCCTTGTATATAAAAATGGAGGGAGTATGCCACTTGATTGGGGCCTATCCACACCCTTAGGTATATGAAGGATACTACCTCTTGTGATTTTTGTTTCTTTTACCACGCTCCGCCCTGCTGATTTTGTTTGCAATTTGCAATTTTTATTGTTAGCTCACCAAGCTAACCGCTTGGTCGGCCTGCCAATTTTGATGATTGCTGGGAACATTTTTATTTGCAAGAGCAAGGGAACCAATACAACAATCAACAACATGCCCTGGTGTTTGCAACGTAGCATTGCATACTCCAAGCTGCTGATGTTTAAACGCGTGGTTATGGGCAGCTTAGTTGCCTCCTGCCGTGGCGGGGGCTGCAGCCTGCGCCTGTCTCATCTTGGCGAGTTCGACCACTCTGTCGACGGCCGGCAGGACAGCCTTGGCGGCGTCCAGCGCGCCAAAGCGCTCCACCCACGCCGCCAGGAGAGGGCCGAAGAAAGGCTTCACCCAAGCCTCCTGCAGTACATCGACGAAGCATTCGCCGACATCGGCCGCTCCCTCCTCCCCTCCGACCCCCACCAGCGCGCGGTCGCTCGCTTCTGGGCCTCCTACATCGATGACAAGGTTTCACACGTTATTCTTTTTCTGTTCAGCTACGTAGTTTTACTGATCATTCAAGTGACGCGCGTGTGTCTATGCAGCTCGTGATCCCATGGGTGCGGTCGTTCAGGGGCAAGACGGAGGAGGAGAAGTCTGAGTGGATGGAGCAGACGCTCATCGCCGTGGAGACCCTGGAAGGAGCCCTGAGGGAGTGCTCCAAGGGCAAGGGCTTCTTCGGCGGCGACAATGTCGGGCTCGTCGACGTCGTGCTGGGCAGCCTGCTCACGTGGGTGCACGCGGCTGAGGTGATGTCCGGGGCCAAGATGTTTGACCCTGCTAAGACCCCATTGCTGGCCGCGTGGATGCAGCGCTTCGACGAGCTTGCCGCTGCCAAGGCCGTCATGCCGGACGTTAATAGGATGGTCGAGTTCAAGACGAGGCAGGCACAGGCCATCTCTGTCGCTGCAGCTTCACAGCGTCAGTAAACTAAGCTGGCATTAGGTGTTGGAACTACTAGGAATACCCCTGTACCCGTTATGTGATGATTTATTTTCCATATTTGCCTAAAAAGAATTTATTGCTACATCGTGTACTGTTCTAAGGTACTGTATCTTTTGATCGTCATTTGTGTGTAAACCTATCAGCTGCTTGACGTAATAATACTACTTCCTCGTTTTTAAATATAAGTCTTTCTAGAGATTTCAATATGAAATACATACTGAGCAAAATGAATAAATTTATACTTTAAAATATATCTACTCTTTAAAATACTTATACTTAGGAATGGAAGAAGTATAAGAATAACTCTTTACATCAGCAAGAGTCATGGAGTTTCTACACTCTTTCTCCAATGCACCCTCGTGAAATATAAAATATAAAAATATATAGTTTAGAAATAAAAATATTAATTTTGGGGGCAACAAATATTGTTGAATCATCTTCCTGCATGCAAATTTTCATGACGAGTTGTCCGGAGAACACTTTCAGTTTGTCATGAGTTGATGTGCTCAGCTTTTAAATGATCTTTATTCTGAAATGAATGAAGTATTTAGTTAGATACTCCCTCCGCCTCAAAATAAATGTCGCAGACTTGGTACAACCTTACTTTCTAAGAAGTGAAACTATTCAAATGGCAAGAACAGAAATACGGATTTCCAAAAGAATACAAGTACTAAATGATGTTAAAACTTTACAAAATATTACAAATGATCTTAAAACCTTCACAAAATATCACATGCACTAATTTTCCCTGGCACCATTACATCAAGAATCGATATACAAACAACAATCATATATGCTATATAGAAAACATGCACTCTTTTTTATTCAATGGGACTTATGTTTCCATGACGTTTACTTGGTCTCCGAAGCAGCGGCGGCGGCATCAGCCTGTGCCTGTCTCTTCTTGGCAAATTCGACCACCCTATCAACTTCTGGCAACGCCGCCTTGGCAGCGTCGAGCTCGCTAAAGCGCCCCATCCACGCTGCCAGGAGTGGAGTCTTAACAGGATCAAAGATCTTGGTTCCAGACATCACTTCTGTCGCAATCAACCAGGAGAGCAGGCTCCCAAGTGAAATGTCCACAAGCCCGACGGTCTCACCACCAAAGTAGCCCTCTCCCTTGGAGCACTCCCTCAGGGCTCCTTCCAGTGTTTCCACCGCGGCAAATGTCTGCTTAACCCCCTCAGACTTCTCCTCCTCTGTCTTGGCCCTCAACGACTGTACCCATGGGGTCACGAGCTGCACAAAATCACATTAAGTTGGTAAAATCAAACCCCGAATGCCCGTGCCATAAATTTCAATGCACAAAAAGATAGATGTGAAACCTTATCGTCAATGTAGGCGGCCCAAAAACGGGCAATTGCACGTTCGTAGGGGTCAGAGGGAAGAAGAGAGGGGCCGACAAGGAACGCCTCATCGATGTACTGAACGATGATCATTGACTCGCAAATGGGTTTCCCGTTGTGGACGAGCACGGGCACCTTCTTGTGCACCGGGTTCGAGCTGAGGAGGAGCTCGCTCTTGTTGCTGAGGTCCTCCTCGACATCCTCGAAGCTCAGGCCCTTGAAGCTCAGCGCAAGCTTCACCCTGGCGACAAATGGACTCGCCCAAGCGCCGAGCAGCTTCAAGTCATCTCCTCCGGCCATCTGGATCTGTGTGTGTAAGGTTGAGCTGCTTGTTTTGGCTTGTGTTTCGTTAGGTGGTTGGTGGGTCATAGTTATGTGGATCATCTATATATAGTGTTTGGTTTGCTAGTTTGGATGCGTCATCCGTGATGCTTGCAAACTGGGAGCGTGCAAGCAAGATCCCCATGATGAACATGCCCAACTTGGAGAAGAAGGCTAGGTAAACTGACACATCTGTTTGGTATAGTCTGTACTTATCAGTTTGAATAGTTCGGTCAAACCCAACTTTTGACCGCTAGCTTAAGAGGCCACGATGGTTGGGGCATTGACTCCCGTGACGTATCGGCTTATGTCTTTGTGCAGTGCGGCACAAGCCAACGTTCGTATAGCATGACGCACTAGCACTCAGTTTGTCTAATTTACATCTAAATGTTTTTTTAATGATGTCACATCTAAACTCTCGTAAATACATAATGCAGCAATAAGAAAGAAAAACTAGAAAAAAAATAGACCACAAACAGAGTGGACATCAGCTTAGATGTGACATAACTATGTCACATCTACATGTGTCCTAAACAGACCTAGTACAGTTTTTTCTATCCAAAGTCCATTTGACCCAATTTTTTTAATTGAGAGAAAAAATTAGCCCTGTTAATACAAAAAACCGAGAGAAAACCGATGCAACGTGTCCATAGAGAGCACCTGAGCGACCTTGCTACCTACGGGATCAACAAACGCCACCGAACCGCCGCTGAGGTTGTCCACAAACTGTCATCGTCACCACTTATGCATGGGCAAGCGGAACGACACCTTGCTACAATGAGCACACGAGACCTGCCGGCTTATGCCAAACTACCGGCCACACACGCCGGAGGCAAGGCAGCTCCTAGTCTGAAGGCGAGCTAGGATAAAGAAATGTGAAGGTTGGGGCCATGAAGAATCGCCTAGCTAAACCATTCGATGGAAAAGTCGGCGTTGTCAGCCGGGCCTAGCTGCCGCAGCACCAACTCTTTTGTAAGAAAACGATCCTTAGGATGCTAGAAATATGCCGAAGAGCCGACTACCACAAATTTGTCGTAACCCCGATCTCACTCATCCACATCAATGTTGCCACATGAGACGCTAATGACCACCAACATAAACCACGAGTCACCTTCGAGACAATGCCCCCAAGAGAAAACGCGTCACCAAGCAAAACCATACCACGACCATCGTCTGATCTAGGAAACAGCCGGGCTTGCTAAAGCGCTCCATCCACAGTGTCAGGAGTGGAGTCGTGATAGGATCAAAGATCTCGGTTCCGGACATCACTTATGTCGCGTTCGACCAGGAGAGCAGGCTCCCAAGTGAAATGTCCATAGAAAGAAAGTGTCGGAACAAAAGTCAATGATGATACAAGACATTATTTTCAGACACGTAAGGGGTTACGACACGAAGACTCCATGTCTCATATGCTGTTTAACATTGTAGCGGATATGTTGGCAGTACTTATTGGTCAAGCCAAAGAGAGTGGCCAAGTAGGAGGACTCGTCCCCCACCTTGTAGAGGGGGTGTCTCCGTTCCACAATACGCGGATGATACTATTATATTCATGGAACATGATCTTGCAAAAGCTAGGAATATGAAGCTTGTATTATGTCTTTTCGAACAACTGTCTGGGCTCAAAATCAACTTTAATAAAAGTGATTTTTTCTGCTTTGGAAGAACCAAAGAGGAACAAGATGATTATAGAAATTTGTTCGGTTGTGAAATGGGATCCTTACCTTTTAGTTATCTAGGGATCCCACATAGACATTTAACAAATAAGGAATGGAAATGTATAGATGATCGATTTGGAAAGAAACTAAGCTGCTGGAAGGGTAAGCTAACGTATTACGAAGGTCAGTTGGTTTTGATAAATTCGGTTTTGACAAGCCTACCGATGTTCCTTCTTTCTTTCTTTGAAGTACCGGTAGGGGTACGGAAAAGACTGACTTCTATAGATCCCGATTCTTTTGGCAAAGTGATGAGGCCAAGAGGAAGTACATATTGGCTAGATGGGATATCATATGTAGGCCAAAAGACCAGGGCGTGTTAGGGATCGAAAGTTTGGATGTAAAGAATAGATGTCTGCTTATCAAATGGCTATACAGATTATCTATGGAGATCGAGGGTATGTGGGTACAAATCTTGTGGAATAAGTACCTACATTCTAAGAATTTGGCCCAAGTCACTGCTAGGCCAACGGACTCGCCCTTTTGGAAGGGGTTAATGAGAACGAAAGTAAATTTCTTCCAACGGGTGAAGTTCGTAGTTGGTAATGTTACCACTAGTAGATTCTGGGAGGATACATGGCTAGGAGAGACGTCTTTGGCTTTGCAATATCGCTCCTTATATAATATTGTACAACGTAAGGAGCATTATGTTGCCACAGTATTAAACTCGATACCGCTTAATATCCAATTTAGGAGATCCCTAGTAGGGGACTGTTGGAATGCATGGTTGCACCTAATTCGTAGATTGATGGATGTTCACCTACTCGATTAGTCGGATTCAATTCTCTCGAAGTTAACCACGATGGGAATCTTCTCAGTGAAATCCATGTATTCGGACCTAATTGATTCCGGGGCATTGTCGAGGTCTTTGCACATTTGGAAGATTAAAGTTCCACTTCGAATTAAAAAATTTATGTGGTTCATCCATAAATAAGTCATCCTAATCAAAGATAACTTGGTGAAAAGGAATTGGGTTGGGAACTCAAGGTGTTGTCTTTGTGATCGAAATGAAACGATTAAACACCTCTTTCTCGAATGTCCTCTTGCAAAATTATTATGGCGATCAATTCATATAGCTTTTAACGTTCATCTCCCAAGGAGCATAAACACGTTATTTAGGATGTTGCTTAATGGAGTGGACATACACATAGCTAAGCATATTCGGATAGGAATATGTGCACTATTTTGGGTTATATGGAATACTAGGAATGATATGATTTTTAGTGGGACGACATTCATTATTTTTTTACAGGTTATCTACATAGCCTACAGCTTGGATCCGTGTGTGGTCCTTACTCACTTATGCGGACTTCAAGGAGCTTATGGTTATTGGGTACAACCGCTGGGAGACGATAGCACTGGCTGTCTTTAGCCGATTTGGGTGGTGAGCTAATAATATGCTAGGTGTGTAGGCATCGTAGCTTGTTTTTTATTGCCGGATGTGGCACTTTTCAGCTGTATATCGCCGGATGTGGCGCTTTTCAGATTTATTTTCTTTCAACTACTACTTAGTTTATGAGCCTCTTTGGACCTTAAGACTTTGTTACATTTTTATTTAATAACATGGCTGCATGCATCGATTGATGCAGAGGCCGGAGGTTATCCTCCTTTAAAAAAAGAGACCAGATAAAAGGTTTTCCCTGAAAACATGTAACTGCAGTCCCGATGCCTGTTGGGGAACGTAGTAATTTAAAAAAAATTAATACGCACACGCAAGATCATGGTGATGCATAGCAACAAGACGGGAGAGTGTTGTCTACGTACCCTCGTAGACCAAAAGCGGAAGCGTTAGCACAACGTGGTTGATGTAGTCGTACGTCTTCACGATCCGAGCAATCAAGTACCAAACGTACGGCACCTCCGAGTTCAGCACACGTTCAGCCCGATGACGTCCCTCGAACTTCGATCCAGCCAAGTGTTGAGGGAGAGTTTTGTCAGCACGACCGCGTGTGACGATGTTGATGTTCTACCAACGCAGGGCTTCGCCTAAGCACCGCTACAGTAATATCGAGGTGGACTATGATGGAGGGGGGCACCGCACACGGCTAAAGGATCAAACGATCAATTGTTGTGTCTATGGGGTGCCCCCCTCCCCGGTATATAAAGGAGCAAGGGGGTGCGGCCGGCCAGGGAGAGGGCGCGCCAGGAGGAGTCCTACTCCCACCGGGAGTAGGACTCCCCCCTTTCCTAGTTGGAATAGGATTCGGGAGAAGGAAAGAGAGAGGGGGAGAAGGAAAGAGGGGGCCGACCCCCCTTGCCCTAAAACAATTCGGTTTGGGCCTTGGGGGCGCGCCCCACACTCCCCTTGCTTCCCTCTATTTCCACTAAGGCCCATGTAGGCCCATTAAGCCCCCGAGGGGTTCCGGTAACCTCCCGGTACTCCGGTAAAATCCCGATTTCACCTGGAACACTTTCGACATCCAAACATAGGCTTCCAATATATCAATCTTCATGTCTCGACCATTTCGAGACTCCTCGTCATGTCCTTGATCACATCGGGGACTCCGAACAACCTTCGGTACATCAAAACATATAAACTCATAATATAACCGTCATCGTAACGTTAAGCGTGCGGACCCTACGGGTTCGAGAACTATGTAGACATGACCGAGACACGTCTCCGGTCAATAACCAATAGCGGAACCTGGATGCTCATATTGGCTCCCACATATTCTATGAAGATCTTTATCGGTCAAACCGCACAACAACATACGTTGTTCCCTTTGTCATCGGTATGTTACTTGCCCGAGATCCGATCGTCGGTATCTCGATATCTAGTTCAATCTCGTTACCGACAAGTCTCTTTACTCGTTCCGTAATACATTATCCTGCAACTAACTCATTAGTTGCAATGCTTGCAAGGCTTAAGTGATGTGTATTACCGAGAGGGCCCAGAGATACCTCTCCGACAATCGGAGTGACAAATCCTAATCTCGAAATACGCCAACCCAACAAGTACCTTTGGAGACACCTGTAGAGCACCTTTATAATCACTCAGTTACGTTGTGACGTTTGGTAGCACACAAAGTGTTCCTCCGGTAAACGGGAGTTACATAATCTCATAGTCATAGGAACATGTATAAGTCATGAAGAAAGCAATAGCAACATACTAAACAATCGGGTGCTAAGCTAATGGAATGGGTCATGTCAATCACATCATTCTCCTAATGATGTGACCCCGTTAATCAAATGACAACTCATGTCTATGGTCAGGAAACATAACCATCTTTGATCAACGGGCTAGTCAAGTAGAGGCATACTAGTGAC